ATATATATATATAATATTAGCAACCACCACTACAAATTAACAATAATTACATTAGAAAGCTGGTGATTGAAGAGAAAAAATAACAACAACAAACATTTGGGGTCTTCATAAATTAAAATTAGAAATATATATTTTAACAGTAAGTTTGTATGTTTGTTATTATGCACAAGGCTACACAATGGGCTATCTGTGCTCTGCCCACTATGGGTATCGAAACCTTGATTCTAGCATTGTAAGTCCGCTGTGCCACTGGGGCCTTAACAATATGTGGACAGAGGATTAAAATATTTTATACTTCTCTTACCTCACGTTGTTTCTAATAAACCAACCTTCAGTTCTTTATGAAGGTAATATATCCTAAAAGATCAAAATGTTTTGTTTCCTGAATTTCATGCAAAGCTACTCAAGGGCTATTTGTCGTTAGCCCTCCCTAATTTAGCAGTGATAGTAAGCACACAAAATAGTAGTCCATTGTTCAGCACATTCCCTTTTTCTTTTGTATTTTGTGTGATAATGTTTTGCACTCTTAATAAACTTATGATCTGTTCATTGTTTGTATAAACTACTTCCATCACTTTATCTATCTAAGTAAGGCCCGGCATGGCCAGGTGGTTAGGGCACTCGACTCGCAATCTGAAGGTCGCGGGTTCGAATCCCCGTCCCACCAAACATGCTCGCCCTTTCAGCCGTGGGGGCTTAATAATGTAACGGTCAATCCCACTATTCGTTGGTAAAAGAGTAGCCCAAGAGTTGGCAGTGGGTGGTGATGACTAGCTGCCTTCCCTCTACTCTTACACTGCTAAATTAGGGACGGCTAGCGTGGAGCTTTGCGCGAAATTCAAAACAAACAAGCAAATCTAAGTAACATAAAGTTTGTCTGTCTATCTGTTGACACACGTTTTTGTGAGAAATTGACTGCACTAATTTTTAGTAGAGAAATTCAGGTAGACCCAGAAAGATTGAGTTTATATGAATAAAAAAATCTGAAATGAGGATTCAGTTGATTAAGTGAGAAGGTGAAGCCGACGACAAATAAAAGTGACTTTTAATGTCTTGCACAGCACGGGTATCTTTGTATCGAAAACAAAAAAACGATTCGTGTCCTACTGTTCAAAATAGCGAAATGGGGACTCTTCACGTCCTCATATATAGCATTACCGTTTTTTTAAACCCGATGTTGCTGGGTGTCTTTGCTATTGTATAATAACCAAAATTTGAATACTGCTTAATAGCTTGTATATATATATACTATTTTTTATTGTTTTCAGCTTTAACACTGGAAGCCGGGGGAGTCAACGCCACCGCTGTAGAGGCAGATATAGGAGCCACCAACGGCATCGTTCACGTGATTGACCGGGTGTTAGGCTTACCTTATCAGACCGTAATGGAAAAACTTTCCAGTGATCCAGACTTACGGTTGGACATGTTTTGATATGTAAATCTAACACCTAATACGACTGCGATGCAGCAGTATACAAACTAGACAACTGTTCACTTTGTAGAATGTACTTTTAGTAACAAGAATATTAAGGACTTCTAGTGGAAGTAGAGTGTAGTATAATGATATCTTTATCTATCTTGAAAATCCTGAGCAGGTTATATTTTATTGCTTTAATTGTTAACTGGGGGGAGGGGGGCTTGTGCTTCAGTTGTGTTATTTTGTGTTTGAATGCAAAAAATATAAATGTAAAGGCAGTACTGTATAGTTAAAGTAATTCATACAATTAAATGACCTGCCTGGACTACTCATGTATGAGGTTAGGTACGTAGTGTTCTGAACAAATCTGATGGCCATGCGTGGCGTCTCAATGACCGCGAGGTTCAACCTATTTCACAACACGTAATACCTATCAAACACTCCTAGTACAAAAGACATTTAGAGCCGAATGGTTTGATAAAAAATGACAAACCGATCGACTTATTTAAAAAGAGACACCAGATTTAGCGACGCTTTCAAAACCTGGATACCGAGAGCAAGTATTAAAAGTCAATGATATTCGTGTTAGGTCTCTACTCAACTGGGTGACGATACCGTTACTCTAAGTAATGAAGAAGTTCACACATAAACACTGCTGTCTGAGATGGGGAATAATAGATCCGTTCCCACAAATACCTTTCCCTTTGTAATATCTACACCCACTCCTTGTACGTCACTACTTCTAATTTCATTTTTGGAAGTTTAATGGTACTTAGAAAGCTTCCTACACACGCTACTCTTATAATTATATAGATATTTGCTATAATCCAACGTTTTACGTATTGAGAAGTGAGATAGCTGCACAGAATGTTGTGTAAAGTTTATGAAAATGTAACTTCTGTTTAACGAGAGCTAAACCCTAACGATGTCGAATCAAAATGTAACTTCTGTTTGTCCAGATCTAAACCCTAACAATGTCGAATCAAAATGTAACTTCTGTTTAACGAGAGCTAAACACTAGCAATGTCGAATCAAAATGTAACTTTTGTTTGTCCAGAGCTAAACCCTAACAATGTCGAATCAAAATGTAACTTCTGTTTAACGAGAGCTAAACACTAGCAATGTCGAATCAAAATGTAACTTCTGTTTGTCCAGAGCTAAACCCTAACAATGTCGAATCAAAATGTAACTTCCGTTTGTCGAGAGCTAAACACTAGCAATGTCGAATCAAAATGTAACTTCTGTTTGTCTAGAGCTAAACCCTAACAATGTCGAATCGAAAGGAAATAATACTTTCAAATTCATAAAAAAGGAGTAATAAGTTATTTTAAAATCAGTTTATATGTTATGTTAGCTACAATGATAGATACTACACTGCTTTATGTACACAAGTATATAGGTACTCATTCTTTTTTGTTTTTATATACTTTTGACACATAGGGCCAGATTAAGGACTTTAGGTGGTGGTGGGGAGAGAAGGGGGGGGGGGGGGGCTTGCGCACCATAAATAGTCAAACACAATTTAATACTGTTTATTAACTACAGTTTGAACGTTACACACACATAAAACTTCTATCTACAAGGTTTCTTTCTAGCTTTGGCAGCAAGGAAATCCTTACATTTCTATCCATTCTAAAGCATCATTAAAGCATCATTACAGCTCATCTGTTATTGTTGACCTTACCGGGAAAGGGCGAGCTATAAGAGTATGTTAATAAAATATTACAAAATATCAGGATTATATGAAATGACTGAAATCGATGTTGTCTTAGTGAAACAGCCAGTTATTATTATTTTTTTAATGTTCCTCTAAGCAGAAGGGGACTTCTTGGATTCAGGGGTTCCAGGTGCGATTTCATTCATTTGCCGCCCCCCCCCCTCTTAATCCAGCCCTCCTGACGACGTCTTGGCTTCTTTTGAGACTTTTGTTAGATCTGGGGGAATAACTAATTCAGAAGATAAAAAAATCCAAAAGAGCTCAATAAAAAAAAAGAAAAAGAGAATATGGTACAAATTAGGTTACATATGTGTATATGTAATATTAATCTAATATATATAAATATCAGGGGAGTAGGAGGCAAATTAAAAGAGGGGCGAGGGAATAAGCGCCAGAGTCTAATCCAATACGGCCGGAGTCCAGAGTTCGTCGTTAGGGTCTTGGAAGCTCTTGGATTCTGGATTAAATCATATGCACTCCTCTGCTTTTCCTGAGAGTAATTTTCCTAATTTCGATGCATGTTTACTGGGACGTATGTAGGGAAGAAAATAACATTGTTTTTGTATGTGGGCAGGAAAACATTTCAACTTGGTGCCTATGATGACTGGAATTTGAAATTGAACAACAGAGAAAAGCACTTTACGTTTTTCGCGCCCAGTCAAGAAGCTTGGGATGACCTCGAAAAAAACATGCCCACCGAATATAAGCAAATGTCTATGGATATCTACAGCTACCACGTACAAAAGGTAAGATTTCTCCGTATTTGTTATAGGAATAAAAAATTCATTCTTCATCTGAAATCTTCTGACATCAGTTATAAAGTTTGTGATGTATCCATGAAAGTATTTAGTTTAGAGAAAAGACACATTAGGCTATCTGCTAGATCCACCGCGGGGAATTGGAGTCCCATGTATTAGCCCCATGTATTAGTGTTAACTTGCCGATGATCCACACATCTGTTAAATACACAAATCAGTTATTCCCCTATTGAGTTTTCAGAATCATGTAAATCAATTTCTTGATGTTAGTTGTTCTGTTTATCTTATTGTTTTGTTTCTGTTCATCTGATTGTTCTGTTTATCCTTACGCAAAAGAATGTGTTATATAATTGTTTAGTTTCAAAGATTTATAAATTCTGAGTCACTAAAATATTGTGCTTAATAATTTATTGCATAATAAGACATAGTGGGCAGTACCAACAGCTGCTGATCTATCTGAACAATACATAAGACATAGTGGGCAGTACCAACAGCGGCTGATCTATCTGAACAATAAATACATAAGACATAGTGGGCAGTACCAACAGCGGCTGATCTATCTGAACAATAAATACATAAGACATAGTGGGCAGTACCAACAGCGGCTGATCTATTTGAACAATAAATACATAAGACATAGTGGGCAGTACCAACAGCGGCTGATCTATCTGAACAATAATACATAGACATAGTGGGCATACCAACAGCTGCTAAGTCTATCTGAACA